TTCTCCAGAAGTGTCACCCTCCCCACACCTCCAGCTGTTCACCAACCCGGAAACTCTCCAAACCCCTTCCTTTTGGGTTTTTATGAAGGTTTCATTACACAAGCATGATTGATTAAATCATTGGCCATTGGTGACTGAACTCCATCTCCAGCTCCTTTCCTCTCCTAGGAGTGGAGGTGGGCTGGGGCTGAAAGTGCCAACCCTCTAATCACATGGTTGGCTCCTCCTGGCAATCAGCCCCCATCCTTAGGTGAGGTCCCAAACTCGCCTCATTAACATAAAAAAAGAGTAAATATTATGCAAGCCCAGTGGGTGAATCAGTGGCAGGTGAAGGGGTTGCCCAGCCTGGACTCACCACCTCACCCTAGAGAGCAGAGTGTGGTCAGGAGTGAGGAGACAAAGGCCAGAGTTATGGGACAGGGGCCAGAACTGAAAAGTTCAGATGGGGGAAAAGAGCCAAAATAAAAGAGTTATAAAGACTAGAAGTTAGTCATAAATAGGGGAAAAAAATAAAATGGTAGCGAAAAGCCCTGGTGTGAAATATCCATTCCTGGCCATAACAGCAAATAAATGGTGTTGCTTAAAACCCAAAATTCCAAGGGTTTTAGGAGCTCTGTGCCGGAAACTGGGATAAAGGCCAAGTATATGTTTATTATAAATCATAATATCACACAGGCATATTCAGCCTAATCACAATCCTGGTTAAATTTAATTCTACCTACTTTCTTTCTATACCTGTGTGTCTAGATGAATATGGCTGGAGAAAATATATAACCACACAAAATAGTCTCATTTTGAAATAAATTATCAATAACTTCAAGTGGGCTTCTGTGCTGCTGGATAGTCATACTATATTTCCCTAGTCCTCTCTCCCAGCCTATTGAACAACAATCTCATGTTTTCTCCACTCTCCTCAAACCTCCAACACCTTCTCCACTGTTTTCAATCTCAGCTAATGATCATGTGTTCTCTTTTATTGAGAAACTTGAAACAATCCGATAAGAACTTCAGCAGCTGCCACCACCATATCTACCAAGTTACCTGTCTATATGTCCATGGCCTCTATATTCTCTCCTGTTATTATGACTTAACTGTGTAAGCTCCCAACTCGGCCAGCTTCTCCAGGGTACACTAGATTCTACCCCGTTTCACCAATTCAAGAAAGTCAATCCAGCAATTTTCCCTCTGTTTCCTTTATATAATTATATTATTATATATAATTTTTATATATAATATTTATCTATTTATAATAAATATTTCTCTTTCTACTAGATCAGCATATAAACATGCTGTTGTTTCTCTCATTAAAAGAGAAAAACCCTTTCTTGAACTATTCTTCTATAATGTCCCATTTCACTTTTTCTTTAATGCAAAATTCCTTGAAATGGTTGTGTTATATTCACTATTGACCAGTTTTATTCTCCTATTCTCTCTTGGGTCTATTCTAATCAAGCTTTCTCCCACACCAATCAATGATATTCCTATATAGGTCACCACTGACCTCATTGCTAAATCCAACGGTCAGTTCTCAGGCCACATCTTACTTGATATGTCAGCAACATATTATAGTTTACCATCCCCTGTACCTTAACACACTTCTCTTGGATTCCAGAACACTTTGTTGACCTAGTTTTCTTCCTACCTTTCTAGCCATTCCTTCTTAGTCCTCTTTGCTGGTTCCTCCTCATTTCACTGGACTTAAAACATCAGAATACTAAAGACTGACTTCTTGAAACTTTTCTGTTTCCTATTTATATTCAAGCCCTAGGTGGAATCAGTCAGCCTTATGACTTTAAATGTCATTTATAATCTAATAGGTCATATATTTATATTTATAGTCTGGACCTATCCCCAAATTTCTGGCATAGATATCCAGTTATTTGACATCCACTTGGATGTCGAATAGGCATTTCAAATTTAACATGTCCGAAACTGAGTTCCTGATATTCCTTTCTCCCATAGTCTTTCCCACATCTATTAGTGGCAATTCCATCTTTCCAATTCTCAGGTGAAAAACATTAGAATCATCCTTGACTGCTATGTTTCTTTCACACTCTAAAACAAATTTATTAGCAAATTCTGTTGGCTTCATCTTTATAATATACTCAGATTCTGACCATTTCTCACCATCTCTACTGTTACCACCTGGTTTGAGAAAGCCTCTATCCACCTCTCACCTGAATTATTGTATTAACCTCTTAACTGCTTTCCCTTCCTCCAACCTTGACGCCCTTTAGGATACGCCCAGCAGGAAGAATAATCCTGTTAAGTGTCTACAAGACCCTACATGACCTGGCTCCATATTACCTCTCTGATCTCATCATCTATGAGTCTATCCTTCACTGCTCTAGAAAGTCAAGATCTGTAAAGAGTTTTAAATTTTACTTTATTTGCAAGCTGATAAAGTTAGGTTGCCAGTTTCATGGATGCTGATAGAAAACGTGAGACTCCTGGGTCAGAGATGAAGGATAATCAGAGTACAGAATATCAGCATTTTGTGCTGATTTCCTGAGCCATAATTCCCACAGTATGATGCAAAGAAACCTTCTCTTCTGAATTAGTCTGCTCAGGCTGCCACAACAAAATACCACGGACTGGGTGGCTTAAACAACAGAAATTTATTTTCTCACACATCTGGAGACTGGAAGTCCCAAATCAACATGCCCATCAGTTGGTATCTGATGAGAGCTTTCTCCTGGAGTTGCAGACAGCTGCCTTCTCACTGTGTCCCCACAGAGAGAGAGAGAGAGTGCTCAAGCGCGCTCTGGTGTCTCTTCTTATAAGGACACTAATTTTATCAGGTCAAGGCCCCACTCTTATGACCTCATTTAACCTTAATTATTTCTTTAGAGGCCCCATCTCCAAATACATCCACACTGGGTTAGGGCTTCAACATATGAATTTGGAGGAGGGGAGAGGCAGAAACATTTAGTCCATAACACCTTCTACTCGATTTAAAATTTACTCCCACCTTTTCCCAACAGTTCATGTCCCCCTTTCTGCTTCACTTTGTTCTTTAGTACTTATTACTATCTAATATCTCATATATATACTTTTTAGCATGTATGCTGTCTGTCTCTATCATAGAAAGTAAGTTCTATAAAGGTAAGGATTTTTGTTTTATTCGCTATTGTATTCCCTGTGCCTAAAACAGAGCCTAGAATACATAGTAGGCCCTCAATAAGTATTTGTTGATTGAATGAATGAAGGTTGTAGTGGGGAGGGCTGGTAATTTGGAAAGCTGGAGTAAGATACACATCTAGCTACTGAGACCTTCTTTAAGAGGAAAGTCCTAATTAATTGTGTGGTTAATTATTTACTGTAGACTGAATTGTTAGGATCTTATTATAGAAGCCCTTAAATTTAAGCTTACTTTGTAACGAAGTGTATTTCTGAAAGAGTAGCAGCTCATAATTTGGACTTGCTTTTTTTTTTTTAAGTTAGGAAAGATAAAAGAGTTATAAAGATTAATAATACATTCTTGGGAAGACATAAGCCCTGTATAAACCTAACGAACAGAATATAATCAAAGCATTTTGCCACAAATTAGGAAACAAAGCAGCTGTTTTGGCAAGGGCAGCTTATTGAGAAACTGTCATTTTGATGCTGACAGATTGTGAGAGTAAGGTATAAACAAAATGGCTTCCAAAATGTAGATTTCTTGTCGTTTTAACCTGCTTTAGGTTATCTCTAAATTGAGGATGCTGAGATATTTACACTTAGAAAAGTCTGCCCGTGGCAGCAGGTATTTATGGAAAGGTGGTTTTATAGAATAGAAGGATCAATCCTAGATGAATTCTAATTAAATCATTCATCCTAGCTTTTGGCATTATTTTTTCTTCGTGGGAGGTCGGGAGAGCTGTTCCTTTGTGCCTTGATCCTCAGACCGAAGCACCTAAATGCCTACTCTCTCATCCTCTTCAGCTACCCCTGTTGGACATTTACAGGCTGCCTAGTTTTAAAGTGGATTTAAAAATACAACTGAGATGTTAAATCATCCAAACATGTTATTTTGAATCTGATAAATTTTAAGTATTTTAAATTATAAAGTACTTTCTAAATAGAATACATTTTTCTATATCACCTTTCCCTTTTCAAGTCTCTGTTGCATGTACACTCTTGAGGCAGATCAGCCTGGGTTCACCCCCTTCCTCTCTATATCATGTCAAAGGACAAAGGTAAGAAAAGCCTGCTAGGGCACCGCTTGGGGGAGAGTCAGGAAATGTCCAGAGGTCAATCTATCCCAAGTTACCTCCTAAGCCTTAAAGTATCCTGTCCTCCAGGACTGGTAAAAATCACTCATAGGTAATAATCTGGCATGGATATTCAACCTTGGAGGATCCAGGTGAGTAAACCTCTTTTCTGTATAAAGATGCATAAGCCTACCTAAGAACCAAAGGAATTTTTTTTTTCATTCAATCAGAATTGCTAGCATGATCTCTAGATGTTGAGATTTCATGAAATTTATTCTGTCTTCAATTTCAGAAGAAAAATAAAATCATTTTCTAGTAAATGAGCTATGAAATAAGGAAATGGAATCAGATGGCATGATTATTTTTTCAGTTGAAGTTATTTCAATGAATGAAAATTTAAAATTTTCTAAAATTTGCTTTTTAAAAAAGGATTTTAAGGGGGACTATATAGTATAGTGAGAGAATATTGATACTGAATTCGGAATTGGGAAACCTGAGTTCTAGTCCAGGCTAGCCACTAACTTGCTATGTGACTTGGCCCAAGTCTCGTCATGTTTCTGGGTCTCTGTTTTCTCATGAATATAATGAGAGAATTTCACAAGTTGATGTCTTAGACTCCTTTTTGACTCAATATTCTGTGATTCTGAGTTGAATAACATGAACTCACAAATCTAATTGTGATAATAATCTATATTATGACACTATAGATATAAATTATCATAACATAAAACATTTATTGCCCATAGAAGAATAGCAGCTGTTTTAGAAAGATTTTCGTGTGCCAGTGATATGAAATTGTTTTTATAGGTACATTCCTCTCATTGAAAGGAGCTGTTCTAACATTCTCCTGTATGGACCGAACTGGCGGATTAATGCAACCGCCATATGAAGTTTGGAGGGATCCAAACAACATAGATGAAAATGAAAAATCTTGGAGAAGGAAACTGGTCATGAACTGCCCCTCTCCGTCCCAAGAAATAGGAGATCATCAGTATACAATAATCTGCTCAGAAAAACAAGCCAAAGTCTTCTCACTGCCTTCTCAGACTTGCCTTTATGTTCATAACATCACCGAGACATCTTTTATACTGCAAGCAGATGTGGTGGTCATGTGTAACAGTGCCTGCTTGGCATGCTTTTGTGCCAATGGGCATATCATGATAATGAGGTACTTGCCTTCTTTATAAATTATCTGGTAATCACAATAGTGCCAGCAAGGTACAATTTTGAAAAGTGTGTAATGTGCAAGATGTTATCAAGAAGCAACCTGAGATCATTGTTTCATTATGTTTGTGAATGTTTTATTGTTCAACAATTTGAGGAGAGTTTGGGTTTTTTATTTTTTGTTTTTGCTTTTTGGCTAAATATGCTTTGCATTACGAATGAAATATATATTTTAATTGACATCAAGGAATCTAGGGAAAGAGTGATTTTCCAGTCATTAACACATTCATTCAACAAACATTTATTGAGCATATGGTATCTCCCAGATGCTATGCTAGGCACTGGAAATATAAAGATTAATAAACTGCAAGGAAAAGAAATGAAGTATTGGGGGTCAGCCCTGTGGCGTAGTGGTTAAGTTCACATGCTCTGCTTCAGCAGTCCAGGGTTCACAGCTTTGGGTCTTAGGCACAGACCTACACATCCCTCATCAAGCTGTGCTGTGGCAGCATCCCATATATAAAGTAGAGGAAACTGGCATGGATGTTAGCTCAGGGACAGTCTTCCTCACAAAAAAAAAAGAAGAAGAAAGAAATGAACTGTTACCTTCATTTGGACAACTGGACTATAGTCCAGTTTCATAGTCCACCCAAGAATTTTGCTTACAAAATTTAATTTGGTCTTTATACCTTCTCTAGGATATAGGAAAATAAAGTAATATTTGCATCCTCCATTTTACATATGTTAATAAATTAAAGTTTTAGTTTGCCTAAGGTTGCAAGTCTTGGAAATGGTGAGACCACTACTGAACAGACACTTTATCAAAAGTCATCAGACAACTTATTTTTTTCCAGCTTTATTTAGATATAATTGACATATAACATTGTATAAATTTAAGGTATACAATGTGATGATTTGATATTGCTTATAGTGTAAAATGATTACCACACTAAGGTTAGTTAACACATCCATCATCTCACACAGTTACCATTTGTGTGTGTGTGTGGTGAGAACTTTTAAGATCTACTCTCTTAGCAACTTTCAAGTATATAATACAGTATTGTTAACTATATGTATATATGTACCATGCTAGACATTAGATCCCCAGAATTTATTCATCTTGTAACTGGAAGTTTATACTCTTTGACCACATTTATAATAAGGTATCACCTAAGAGATTTTATTATACTGTTAGTGAATTGAAGTAAAATTCATGAGATACAATAATTACCTAATAATTTTATGAATTTAGCAAACACTTAATAAACATATAGTATGTAGAAGTCACTGTCATCCATTTTAATATCTCACCTAGTTCCAAAAATCACCGAGACAATTAAGCATACTGGCCTGTGAAGGATGTAAAAATTAGTAAAACATAGTCCTAATCCTTAAGAAGCTTACTATCAAATTGGGGAGAGAAGACAGGTACACAAGTAATTATAACATAAAGAACATGTATATTCCAAAAGAGGAAATGTAGAGTTGAATCTTCTAGTCAAAACTAAGTCCCCAGAGTTCAGTCATGAGATAGTTGAATATATTTTATAAAAAAAGGAGTTGTTGGAAGGAAAGTAAACTGGAAAGGTAGATTGGGGCAAATTGTTGAGGACCCTTAATGGCAGGCTAATGAGCTTGACATTATCAATAAATAGGAAATGGGGTTTTTAAAGCAGGTCATTAACTGGTTCTGGCTAAGCACTAGGAAGTGACGTGAGGGAGGGCTGGGGATGGTCTTTTGAACTGAAGTGGTAGCTATCTAGCAGGCAAGGCGAGACTAGATGTGAGGGACAATCAAGGGAAACTTGCTTAATGTAAAACTGATTGGTTATAGAAAGTATTGGAGGTCATCAAAAAATCTCAGGGCTAGAAGAGAACATAAAGGTTAAAAAAAATTTTGTGAACCTGGATAACAGTGATGTCATTAGCAGATAGGAAAGTCAGGAGAATTTGGAAAGGCTGATAATGAGAAGTTTGAGAATTAATTGAGAATGAATGCTTGGAGTCTGAAGTGCTTATACGCCATCCTGAAGAAGTTTAGCAAGCAATTTAAGGTCTGGACTCTTAGAAAAATACAGGTGGAAGATCCAGCTCTGGAAGTTGTCTATGTAAATGTATTCGTGAAAGTTATGGCAGTAAATGAGATCATCAAAGAAGATAGTTTAAAAAGAGAGGAGAAATAGATTGATCTGGGGACAAAAACTTGGGGATGTGTCTACGTTTATGTGGTGGAAGAAAGAAGATCCAGCAAAGGAGGTTGAAAAGTCATCAAAGAGAGAGAAAAAGGACCAGAATATGTAACTGCATCAAATAAAAAGGGTACAAGAGTATCAAAACAAAGGATAAAAGACCACAAAAACAATGGTCAACAGGTTCAGATATAGCAGAGAGGCCAAAGAATTTGGGTACAAGAAAAAACACTAGACCTGGCAACTAGTAGGATATTAGTGATCTTTGAGAAAGCAAATCTCAGGGGCATGGTGGAGGCAAAAACTAAATTTTCAAGGGCGCAAGAATAGAGGCAGATCAAGAGTTGACAAACTTACAGCCCACAGGCCATATCTACGTTGCCCTCCCCACAATCTGACAGAGCACAGCCTGCAAGCTAAGAATGATTTTTACATTTTTAAATTGTTGAAAAAAATCAAAGAGAAGACTACTTCATGATATGTGAAAATTATATGAAATTCAGATTTCAATGTCCATAAATAAAGTTCTTTTGAAACACAGCCACACTCATTTGTTTACATATTGTCTGTAGCTGCTTTTGCACAACAGGGCAGAGTTGAATAGTTACAACAGAGACCACATGGCCTACGAAGCCTAAAATGTTTACTACCTGGCCTGTTAAAGAAAGTCTGCCAACTCCTGGTGTAGATGATGCTTTCAGGATATTTTGTGGCAAAGGGAGAGATGAGAGACAGGAAAGTAGTTCAAGAGCAAAACTAGGTTTTTGGAAGTGTTTTTGCTGTTATATTTTCTTTAATAGGGGAGACGTGAGTAGATTTATAAGCCAAGGAGAAGTAGTTAGCAGAGAAAGTTTTCAAAAAATAAAAACAATCATTTATGGTCTGCTCATTCTCTTATATAGTTCTGGTTCTTTCTCTCTTTATCTGGTTTCTCTTTCTCAAAGTATTTTTAGAGATTTCTGATGAAGGTCATTCCAGTCTTGTTTGAAAATGATGACTTAACTCCTAGATACGCCTTAGTTTGTGAAAAATAAAAATGCATACACACACACCCCCTACCCTCCCTTAAGCTCACATTTAGTCACTCAAAATTTGTTTTTAATTAAAAGACATTAAACTGTTACGTCACAATTGAGATTTTAGCTTGAAAATGATTACTTTCCCTGTTTTTGCAAAATTTTAGTGTCGTTTTCTTATATGGTATTGAGTATATCTGAAAATTAATTTCTATTTAAATGAATATGTGCTACCATCTACGTTTATGAGAAGGGAGATTTCTTGAGAAATGAAAAACAAGAGAGAGTTTAAAAAGCAACAGGAGTCATAGCAACAGGAGAGATGATCTCTCTGTCTTCCTCTGCCCTTTGTAAAAGCTGCTTTACGTGATAATGGTACTTTATTATTATTCCCTAGTAGAAACTCTTCATGTGCTCCTGAGGATCTCAAAAGCATTTGAAAAGGAAATGATTTTGACATAATTTTAGTAACATATAAGGTGTGGCTAGGAAATAATATGTGGCTTGAGGAACTGAATCCTACAAATTGCCATGCTCCTGACTGATCATCTTCCCATGCTAAGCATATTCCCAGATCTTCGCAGACCCTATCAGAACTTAACTATACTGAGCCTCATCTCCTCAAGTCCCAGTTTTCTGATGGATGGCAAGTAGTTAATGATTGCTTATGTGCTAATGTGCCTAGACCTAGAAAAGAGTAGAGAGAGATACAAGAGGCTTATCTATGTATGCGTTCTCAAACTAGGCTGTAAGAGCCTTTTGTGTGTGTGTCTGTGTGTGTGTGTGAGGAAGATTGGCCCTGAGTGAACATCTGTGCCAATCTTACTCCACTTTATGTGGGATGCCACCACAGCATGGCTTGAGGAGCAGTGATGGGTCTACGCCTGGGATCTGAACCTGTGAATCCCAGGCTGCCTAAATGGAGTCCGTGAACTTAACCACCACACCACCAGGCCTGCCTCAGTAAAAGCCATTTTTAGTGAGAACCATCTTAAGTCACTTGACACTTTCCTTATAAAAGTGTCCCTGCACAGAAAAAAATCTATTCTTTTTTTTCTTCAGCTTTAACAGTACTTGTTTCCTAGCCCTTAGCAATTGACTTACTTTTTTCCTACCTAAAGTGATTACATCTTTTTAATTTTATTATCTTGGCTTACTTTTATTATGCTAAATAGTCAAGAACGTAGCTTATCAGAAAAGTCCATTGGAACCTCTTCCCCACCACTGCCCACTAATTTGACTGAATCTATCATGGAAGAGTGTTTAATTGGGTTGGTTTTGGACTCATATCCTAAGGAGTTTAGTTACTTGAAATATCATAACATATATTTTTTAATATATTTTTTCTTACTAAGTTTGACATCCAGTATGTAATTTACACTTAACAAAACATCTCGATTCATATGAACCACATATCAAATGCTCAATAGCCACATGTGGCTAGTGGCTACCATATTGGACAGGACAGAGCTAGAACCTCATGAAAAGTATATTCCAAAAGCACAGATTTCAGGTCTACCACATTTTATATGGTAAAGTTCTAAGGCTTAAATTGTGATTACAAACTACTTTGATAAGAGAAATCAGTACTATTTTTTCAAGGTGCTATTTTTATGATCTGGGATAATTTAATATCATTGTGCACACTAGAATCAATAGAATGATTTCAAAGCTTGAGATTTAATTACAAGTATTTATTTTTCTCCTTTTGGCATTAGAGGTGTGATTTAAAAGCAATGAGACTGGTTTTCTTCAGTAGTTTATAAAACTGACTCTGACAGTATCCAAAAGGACGTTCTGATGAATATTTAAGCAAAATCATTGGCTACAACATTAGAATAAGCATATAGCCATTTGGTAAGACACTTGAGATGAGTGGTATTCATTTGGATGTGCAAATTCTGATCTATTATTTATAACTTATTCTCATTCCCTTACAGCCCCGGCCGTGTTTATTTATTAAGCATGCCTTCAGTGCAGGTGCCCTAAGTCATAGGTAATTTTCATTTCCTGTGTATAGAGGGAGTAAAGGACTGGGAAGCAAAGCCACTCGATTCCCAGGCACAGTGAACTGGACTCACTTCACCTCTCGATCAGTGCATAACCTCCTCAGACTCAGGAGTTTTGCCTTAAAAAGGGAAAACAGACCAAGTATGCAGTCAGCCACTTTCTAGCTATGATGTTTCTGTGATAACCAAAGATCATAACTATACTAGGAATCTGTGAAATGCTGCGAAAAGTATCCTGAAATTGCTGGCCACTGCATTCAGTCCATCCTTCAAGGACATTTGTTAGGTATCTGTGTGGATGAAGATAGAAGGACTGTGCCCATGACCCTTGTGTATATGATTTTAAGTGAAAGTCTAGTTTACTACCACTGGGACTTCAAGAGGATAAAAAGAAACCATAAAATAGTAGTATAAAAATGTACTGTTTTTATGTAAAGATCTGCAAATTTTATACAGAGAAATTAAAAGCTTCTAACAACTTGAATATGAAATGTGGATTTGCTCTTGTCCATTCAGCCTACCTAGTCTTCGTCCAATGTTGGATGTTAATTACTTGCCACTGACAGACATGAGGATAGCACGGACGTTTTGTTTTACCAATGAAGGACAGGCATTATACCTCGTTTCTCCTACTGAAATTCAGCGGTTAACATACAGCCAAGAGATGTGTGATAATCTACAGGTGGGTTAGGCACATTTATGAATAAACATTGGACATGGTTGTAAAGAGAGAATGAGAGAGATATCTAAAAGCTAAAAATATTATTGGGCCAGACAATAAAATGCCTTCCCTAAGATATGTTTTGCATATGTGTTCATCATTGTGACTCTACCAGCTTCTAGTATGGTTCTAGGTAAACAGAGAAAAAAATAAGAAACAGAGGGAGAATGTGAAGATCATACATATTAATAGTTAATTCTTTGTTGTTTATTTCACTGTTTGGTTTTTTGCCTATGGAGAATCCTCTGAAAAATTATATAAACTCTCCCTCCAGGGTGGAGAATATCTATGTACACACAAAAAATTTGCATACAATTCAGGGTGTTTGTGGACTTTTTTTAAAAAAAACCTTAATTTTGATTAAGAGCCATACAAAATAAATACATATCCTGAGGGTTAGAGTTGGGCATTTGTCTTTGATCATAGCAGTAAACAGAGCCTAGACACAGAATAAATATAAAAGCCTATCTAATCTTGGGTAAGTAGAAATTGTCACAAAATTTTCAAAGAGCATCTTAGAGATTTAATTGGTTCAACTCCTTCATTTTATAATAATAAAACTAAAACCCATTCATTATAATTTAGAGGTTAAGAGTATAAGCTCTGAACTGTTTAAGTTGTATTTTGCCTACTTGTATAACTTTGGGCATTTGCCTTAACCTACCTGTTTGCTCTACCTTGGAGCACTGTAAGTAAGAATTCACATAAAGTACTGAGCACAGTGCCTGGAACACAGTCAATTTTTTAAATAAATAATAATAAATGTTGTTATTATTGCTGTTCAACAAATACTTATTGAGCTTTTACCATATACCTGGTACTTGGCTAGGCTCTAGGAATACAATAACAAACAAGATACAAGTCCCTACCTGCTGGTGTGGAGGGAGAGATAAGAGACAACCACAATACTCTGTGGAAAATGCTCTCTACATATGGCTGTGCCAGTGCTGGGGAGATGTGTAAGAGGGGCACCTGGTTGATGGGACAGAAGGGAGGGGATTGTGAATGGTGACTAGGAGTTATCCACAGGAATGGATGGCTGGGGGTGGAAAAGGTCATGATATTCTCGACAGAGTAGTGGCATGCAAAAGCCCAGGGGTTCAGGCAACTACTAGCAAGGTGCAGAGTTGGGAAGTGAAAGAGTGGAGGGATGGTGCTGGAGAATCAGTCAAGAACAGATCTTAGGCACCTTTGTAAGCTCCTTAAGGAATCTGGCATTTATGCCGAGGGCAATAGAAAGTCATTAAAATGGTTTATCAAATTTGTTTATTAAAACAAATAATCTGGTTGTAGTACGGCAATTCGTTTTGAGGAATTAAAACTGAAGGTAGAACAATTAGGAGACTTTTCAAAACAAATTAAGACCAAAAATAACAGTGTCTTGAAGTAAGGCAACCAGCAGTGAGGATGGAGAAAAGTTAGCAGAGCCAATAGCTATAAAGTGCAATCAGTTGGAATGGAGAGTTATTAGATGTAGGAATGAGGGAAAGGAAGGAATTAATCATTACTCCCCGTTTCTGGCTTGGGGAACTAAGTAGGTGGTGCTGCTATTTCCAAAGAGAAGGGTTTCAGGAGGAAGAGCACAGGCCTGGTGAGTAGAGAGGTGAGGGGAAATGATGAAGGTAAAGTCATGCTGCCAGTTCAGAGACAGACTAATATTAGGTCACAGAACTCCTGACTTTTGGTTCAAGTTCCTTCCTTCATACCAATGGTTCTCAAATTTTGGCCTGCTTTGGAAAGACCTGGAGAGCAAGTTAAAAATATAGATAATCAGAGCACATCTATGTAGATTCTAATTTAGTATGTGTAGAATAAAGCCTGAGCAACTGTATTTCTAACAAAATGCTTCTCCAGTCATTCTAAAGCACAGCAAATACTGAGAACAACTGCACCTCGCCATGCAGTAGCTGCCTATTTTGACGCATCTAAATTATCCTGAGCCATTTCATAATTTTGTACTTGATATAAAAATAAATTCAGCCTTCCCCACATACCACCAAAGGCTTCCTATTTCATGGGGCAGTCCATGCTTGATTCAGGAAAGGGAACTGGGACAGGAAAGAGGCCATGGTAACTGAAAAAGGATCAGAAGTCTACATTGGTAGTTATTGAAAAGGTGGAAATTAATCGTAGGTGAATATATTAGGTTCCCATGCTTTCTAATTGTAGAAGGGAGAAGAGGGCAGAAAAATGAAAATTTTAGGACGTCAGTTACTGAAGAAGGGAAGAAAAAGGAGGTGGAGAAAGAAATCAGAGGTAGAACTGGGAGTAAAGCAAAAATCACCAGAAAAATATATGGAAAGTGGACTGTCTTTTCATGATGTGCTCTAACATACTACAGTGTTATCTTTTGATCTACTAATTTATTTTTCCTTGCTGTAATGCTTTTTTCTTTGAATTTGGTACAGGATATGCTAGGAGATTTGTTTACTCCCATAGAGACACCAGAAGCTCAGAACAGAGGCTTTCTGAAGGGACTGTTCGGTGGCAGTGGGCAAACATTTGACAGAGAAGAGCTTTGTGAGTAAACTCCTGATTGTAAAATTGCATCACAAAATAGAAGACCTGTTTCTGTGTGTGGATGGATGTGTGTGTGTGTGTGTGTGTGTGTGTGTGTGTGTGTGTGTGGAACACTGTAATATGAGATCTCAAATTCTGGACTAGCTTTTTTTTGCTTCTATACCATAAAAATTATTTCTGTTTACCAAACATGAATAAAATGGATCACTTCATATTAGGAAATAGTTTAACAAAAACAGCACATGTAATTCATCCAAACAATGAGTAAGCTAATAAATGTGTCATTTGCAAGTAGCTCATACCTGAAAGGCAGGGTGAAGACATTTGGTTACTAAAGTCTGGAAAAATGTTTTTGAATCTGCCTCCTTTAACCACTGCTGGGAAACAGATTCTTTATTCAGAACCCAAGGTTTATCAATGCTACAGAATAAATTACTTTAAAAATCTGCCAGTGAGACTCTGATGAATAATAATCAAAAAGCAGTAGAAAGATACTAGGGAACATTTTAAGAAAGAAGAATATATTTTCCAGAATATCTCACCACCATTTGGCTCTGCAGATCAAAACTCCTTTACTCTTGAACTTTTTTAACTATGCAAGAGATCTAGGTGCCTCCACACAATGGAATATTATTCAGCCATAAAAAGGAGTGAAGTTTGATACATGCTACAAGATGGATGAACCTTGAAAACATGCTAGGTTAAAGAAGGAAGACAAAAAAGGCCACATATTGTATGATTCCATTTATATGAAATGTCCAGAACAGGCAAATCCATAGAGACAGAAGGTAGAGTAGTGGTTGCCAGGGTCTAGGGCAAGGAGGCTTTGGCAAGTGACTGCTCATGGGGATGGAGTCTCTTTTTGGGATAATGAAAATGTTCTAAAATTAGATAGTGGTGATAGTTTCAGAACTCTGTGAATACACTAAAAACCACTGAATTGTACATTTTAAAAGAGCGAATTTTATGGTATGTTAATTATATCTCAATAAGGCTCTTTTTAAAAAAAAATAGATCAGATTCCATTCCTAACGTTACATCCTTGGGAATGCTCATTAAATTGCTCAAGTTAACTTTCAATTTAAAAAATTACTTCATTAAAATTAAATGAAACTGGAGCTTTGTAAGTAATGAAGAAATTTTTAGTCTTTTATAAAGTAACAAAATTTCAACAAATGTATATTATTGTCCCTCATGCATCTACCCCATTCTCTAGTATTTATACACACACAGATTTAAAAACAACTGAGGCTTACAAAGGCTGAGACCAAGATGAACAGAGAAGGTTGGCATGAAGTCTTGGGCAGAAATTTAAACAAATGATCAGGCCTGAAATTGGAACAGACACAAGTGTGGGTTAAATATGAGGTCACATATATTGTGAGCATCCCAATTCAGCAACATCAAGAAATGCAATTATGCTATATGGTATGGAACCCCCATACATACAAAAATGCATATGGAAACAATACCTCTCTCAGTCTCTTTTTAGGCAGTTTTTGGGTAAGTGCTAACATCTCCAAACACATATCTATGATAGGACCAAATACGTCTCTCTTTTAATGAGAATTATGACAGTAGAATTTAATATATGTACTTTGGTGATAAACTTGACTACAATTATTTAAATTACTGACAAAATGTTTTAAATTGCTATGGTTTGCATTCCCAGTTGGGGAAGCTTCAGCAGGAAAAGCATCCCGTAGCCTTGCACAACACATTCCTGGACCAGGTGGTATAGAAGGGATGAAAGGCGCTGCTGGAGGAGTGATGGGAGAGCTGACTCGTGCACGGATCGCACTTGACGAGAGAGGACAGAGGCTGGGAGAACTGGAAGAGAAAACTGCGGGCATGATGACCAGCGCCGAAGCATTTTCCAAACATGCACACGAGGTAAACTGCTGACATAGATATCGGCATCTTCATACAGTAAGAACTTGAAACATTCAGGTCCTGCACAAGAAAGCTTAGACAGAGATGCCTCTGTAAGTAATCCTGTGTGAGAACCAAGGTAAATTGAATTTCATTATAAGTTTTATAATTCCTTCAGTATCTGGGGGAAAAAAGTTTTTAAAAAATAATAAGTTAATGCTTCTTTACCTTAGGATATAATTTAAAAGAAAATTATCCATTGATTCTGATATACCGGGTCTCTCTTGTGCATCAGCTGCTAAAAAGGCACTTAGGTAGATTACACGGGCCCCCAAGAAGGTGCGAGGGCAGGAGAGGCTGGGATCACACACTCCTTTTTGTCCCAATCATTAAAAATCATTTCCTGTCAGCTGAGTCTTTACAGCTTAAGTTTTTTAAAAATCTTTTTCACACACGCTTTATTTCACAAAATAAAAGAGTTTTCTAAGTTTTGAGATTTAGTTAGATATGCATGACTAACTCAATATGAGCTTGCTTTGATTAGCACTTTTAAAGATTTTTTTTAATGTCTTATGGTGACTATTTTTTCTTTGCAGTTAATGCTGAAATATAAAGATAAGAAATGGTACCAATTCTAAACTTCTAAAGAAGCTGTGACTGCTTTGAGAAACCATTATTCAGGGAAACCAAATTTATTCCCAGCATCACTATCCAACTGCTAGAAGCCAGTTTCTTCTACAAAATGTTCCATTACAGTCCATCTCAAGTTATCATAAAGGAGATTTATCAGAGACACTGTACAACCCAAAGGCTGGAACCCTGGTTAAAATCCTGAGATGTGTCTGAATTCGCCTTTTTCCACACGGAATGGAGCTATCATCTTGGCATGTCATTTGCTAAGGATTTACATTTAGGAACTACGGGGAGTCCTTCTGATTTGAAAAATCCTGTACAAACAAGAGCTTTAATGCACTTAATGAAAAAAATCTTTGCATGATAAATTAACATCTTAAGAGGAAAAGAAAAAAAGCACGTGTGACAGAAGAAAAAAAAGATTTGTAGTAAACTATTTTTGTAAATTGGGCCACACCTGACAATTTTAAAAATCTGCATTGGAAGATATCAGTGCATTTCAAGTACATTTGCCATTCCCAACTGAAAAAGAAAAGAAAACAAAAACCAGAGTTTTCTTCTCATCTGTAACTTTCATTATACTAGGACATTATTGAATTCTCATGGCAAGACTCTGATTAATGTTCCTCTCTCTCCATAATATTTTACATCACTCACAGTTCTTCATCATAATCAAGTATTGCCAGATACCCAACACAATTATTTCCATTTCTGTCACCTTCAGAGCTATTTTTAGTCACAAACTATGCAGGGTTGGGTCACTTCAAAGCATTTTTTTCAGCCTGGCTTGTATTCTGCAGGAGTTGATAGGTTTGGGGAAATTAGACTATAGGGACAATGCAGTTAGCTTTGAGAACTGATTTCACACACTCTGGTTTCCGTTTCTAAAGTGATATACTTTTAATGCTCCATTTGTATCCTTGTCTGCCGATTACACAGTATATTACTGTTCAAACCCAGTGGGGTCTTCAATCCAAAGGTGCTCTTGCAGCCTGACACTCGCAGACCAAACTGGTCATTCTCTGTAGTATGATTCAGTAAAACCTCAGCTAATGTTTTAGCAAAGGGACTCTGATTTATTACATTTCTGATTAACAAGGGCTTTCATGAGAAAATACTTTTTGTTTCAATACTTATTATTGAAAATCTTTATAAAATGAAGTGGTGTGATTGCTATCTTGGCCTCAGTCATCATTACAGAAATACAGAGAGAGTTTAATGATACAAAATCAAGAATTTTGTCACTCATGAGGCTAAATAATATAAGCCACAAGATTATGTCAATATGTATCAAACACCTTTCCTTATTAAAAATTCTCTTAAAAAATGGAATAAAGAATATCCTTAACATGATAAAAGGTATCTATCATAACTCAACAGAGAACTTCTAGAGGCAAAACAAAATAACGTCATCTGCTATCATTAACATGATTCTGGAAGTCAAAAGTCGTAGGAAATGAATATATGGAGATTCCAGGACCCATCCTGGAATATGTTGTTCCTTCAGAAGGAATCTTTTTTAAAAATTAATGAGTTTGGCTTGTTGAATTTTGATTAATCATAGTCTTACTAGATTTCATTTGTTTCTTAAGCATTCACCCTTTTCCTGAAGTCCAGGTTATTTTAATTGCCCAAAATAGTATTTCTATTTGTTTTCTTAGATTTTTTAATTTTTAGTGAATTTCTTTGAAGTGGCACTTCCTTTACAATGTTCTCAGTATTATTGAGAAGATCAAAGATCATGGGAAGAGTTAGAGAATCTATAACAGGATAGCATTTCTCAGAGTCCTTGAATTCTCCTGATTTCTGAAAAAAGCCTTTCCATGAATGTCTTCACACTCCTATGAACAGTCTTGACTTGGAAATACAAACATGGCACATAAAATTATATTTAATTTTAAACATAATATATATTTAATTTTAAATTTAAAAAATGAAAATATTAAAGAAACTTGAGACCAGGATTTGGAAAACATTGGTAGTCAAACTGCAGTGCCCTCTTGTACCATCAGTTTCAAGGACCCAGTCTTCTGATTTTCTGAACAGATACTTTATAATTTTTATATTGGGGAAAAAAACCTAAAAGAGTAAAATAGTGGTTTATTTTGGAAATAATGAAATTCAGGGCCGGCCCAGTACTGCAGCGGTTCAGTTCGCACGTTCCGCTTCAGCGGTCTGGGGTTCGCCAGTTCGGATCTCGAGTGTGGATATGGCACCGCTTGGCAAGCCATGCTGTGGTAGGCGTCCCACATATAAAGTAGAGGAGGATGGGGACGGATGTTAGTTCAGGGCCAGGCTTCCTCAGCAAAAAGAGGAGGATTGGCGGCAGATGGTAGCTCAGGGCTAATCTTCCTCAAAAAAAAAAAGAATGAAATTCAGTCCAAAGTGGCATTAAATTCAACGAATATCTCCAAAGCCCCCAACAAGAGTTGATTTAATGTGTTCTACATCAGGCTTTCTCAACAGTGGCACTATTAGAAATTTCTTTGTTGTGGGGGACTGTCCTTTGCTTTGTAGGATGTGTAGCAACATCCCCGGCCTCTGTCCTCTAGATGCCAGTAGCAACCCCCAATTAATGACAATCAAAAATGTCTCCTGCCATTGCCAAAATTGCTCCGAGTTGAGAGCCACTGTTCTACATCATTTAAAGATAGATTGTGTGAATAAGTAATATATGTCTTGTACAAAATGAAACATCCTAAGTGCACAGTGTCTTAACAAGATAAATTATACCCAAAATTACATGTGTGGTCCATACGCAATAAAATAGTCTTTTGGAGAAAGCTTATATGAATCAGTGAAAAATAATAAGACTATTTTAAAGCATACAGAGAAAATACCAAAAAGGACAATATAGCATTTCACAGTAGAAAAGCTTGAAACTTTGGCTTGAACGAGTAGATCAAAAATTTATAATTGACATACCAGTTGGACATGAACAGGTGCTTCTCAAATGCTTGAAAAGAACAGATTCTTTTAAGTAGTTTAAAATGTGACTTTCAATATTTTTTATAAACCCTTTCTTAATGTAAGGGTAACTTCACCCCACAAACTCCTGATTAGTGGAATACAAATTAATGAGGTTTTACTGTATCAAAATTATTTTTATAATTCAAAGAGATAGCAATAACAAGACTCTAATGTGGATGTGATTTTTCTCTTTGAACATTTCCATTCTGTTGCACTGACCTTAGCACACACACACCCCATCGCCACCACCGTCATCATCTTATCATCATCTTTGGAAAATGAGTACTGTTGATCCATCTAATTCTTTACAACTCTCTTCTCTACTACTAAAATGTCTTGCCTCTATATTGAAACAAAAGAAAAATGCTCCTAGTAACTTGGACGATGATAGAGAAAATGACTCTGAGCCTTAGTTGTCATCAAAATTAATTACATTACATCTACTAAGTTGGCATCAGAAGATAAGGCTTGCAAACCAGTTGACCTTATCTCCTTATCATTCCCTCAAGAGATAAGCCCTTCTTAGTGTTCTAGGAGAAAATAGCCCTTTGCATTCTATTCATCAGTGAGAAGATAGAAGTATTTGTTTTCCTGGTCCTAATAATGTGAGCAATAATCCCCACCTTGGAGTTTGGAGGGAAGGATGATTATCATTTATTTTAATCTCCTACAGAAGCAGTACTACTGACTTTGTTTCCAATACTTCACGGAGACCTAAACTTAAGTGTCCCAATCACCATCAGGGTCTTGTCTAACTAACTTTGGAAGAACAGTGACAGAATTGAGTGAGATGTTTTCTGATAATTCAGTCAGAAAGACAATTTTTCAAATCTTTCATATAGTCTTTAGTGATTCTCAAATTAATAAATCAGAATCCAGGTCTCTATTCCTCAAAGATCTTAGGGGATCGTAAAGGAAAAATCTTACTGTTGGAGTCCCTTTTTATGTGACCCATGCGTCCAGTTTTAAAGGTGCCACTTGTCTATTATGTGCATTAAGGCATCACTATGGCTTCGAAAAGGAAAAAAAGATTATGCCTACAATTGGTTGGAGAAGATTAAAATTAGCTCTTCGAGATACTTGGTTATAAAATATTGGCAGAAGGGAAAAGTGAAGCAGGTGTAGAAGAGTAGGCTAGACATCCTCTCCTTAGGGTCACTGGAGCACCCAGGAGGGTCTGTGTGATTGCAGCTTGCCCTGTGGGAAGACATTGTAACTTGACCACTTTTGTTCAGAAAGGGTAATGTCAAAAGGAGTCAGACATTCCTTTCAGGCCTTGCTCTTTGCATCAGGAGAAATGTGGTGGCTTTCACAGCGTCTCCCTCTCTGTCCTCTGGAGCCCCAACCCCATTTTTGACTAGATACTATTTCACATACACATTGCCCCGGGTACCGGAAATACTTGCCAGTAAGTCCTGTATTTGGATTGCGCCATTTCAAGGAACATCACTGTTGCATAGCAGGTTCAGTGTATATATTTGTAGACAACATAGCCCTTAAAGGGTGACATGCAGTAAGGTCTGACTTGGGAAAGGAAGAGGAAATGCAATTTGTTGCAAGAGGTTGGAGTGAGAAGGGAGGTGGGAGCCAGAGTGAAGTATAAGAGGATTTGATGAGGAACTAGTGGCACAGGTGGTTGCCTTTATTTATATGTTTGTGTAGGAAAGTGATTCTCAACCTTGGCTGTACATAAGAATCACCTAAGGAGCTTTTAAAATTCCAAATTATATCAAAATCGCTCAGAATAGGAACAAAACATCAGTGTTTTTGAAAGCCCCCAAGGTTGTTCCAATGTCCAGCTAAGGTTGATAACCACTGTTTTATGGCCAACTAAGGAAGACATGCTTGTCTGCTTTGGCTGGTGTCCAAGCCCACTTCTGAGGGGTCAGGGAGGGCAAGATGTAGGCGATATAGTGATGGCTAGAGTGATATTTATTCTGTGTTGCAACCCAAACAAATGTTCTGTGCAAATTTCTGACCAGGCAGTGCCCCATTAACTCTTAATAACTCTGTCTTTGTGTTTTTCTCCCATGTGACTTGACCATTAATTATTCCAATTCAAACATCCAGGTTTTGATAGTCTTATACAGGTGGCATCACAAGACACCAGAACTATAATAAGAAATTCAATAGCATGTAAAGCTAAGTGGAAAACTAATTCTCAATAATTGGATAGTAGAAATCCTCAAAACAATCATTTACTAAATCAGATCCAAATTTATTATTCATTCTTCATTTGGAGGAGATATGGGTACCAGCTACCTGTTCTGCTATAGGTATATTTTACTTGACTTGATCTTAGCAAGAAGGGAGAACACCTCTTCCTTTTTGATTGTTGTCTTAGCTCCCAGGGCCACTTGGATTTATTTTCTTAGTTATTAGGCATGTATTTAAAGAGAGAAGAATGCCTGTAATTCAATATCTGTCCTCCAGTGTCCTGAACAAAGGGAGAGTCTGCCTATCCAAGGCAATAACACTCGATGAGAAAACTCGAGAGAGTTCTCTCCTCTCACACTGCTCCCCTCTTGTATTAGCCCACCCTTCTCAACTGCAAAGCCAGGAAATAAACTAGGCGGTAGTTATGGACAAGTGTACACAGGATCAAAATCTCTGACAACCTATAATTTTTAGTACTTAATTATGTGATGTTTTATTCTAGGAAATAAGAAACAGATGACATCATTGATGTATCTTTCTTTCATCTTCAGAATTTTTGCATCTTTTCAGAAAATGACAAATTACTATTTTTCTGTTGCACTCAGCAATTGTGACTAAAAATTCTTGTAGTCTGTAGAGATATCAATAAAATTGTATATGTTTGTACATAGATGCTCTCTTATGTTATGATGTCATGCACTACTAATGATTTTTGCCAGGATTAAATATGGACAGAGGTAAGACCCTCATTTGCAACACTGTGAACCATGGTTTTGCAAAGTAGAATTGTTTTAACAAGGCAGGGAGGCAGGTGGAGGAGCAATAGACTTTATTTATTGGAACTAAAAAAGAAAAAGAGAAAAAAGTAAACACAAGTTCCCCACACTTACAGATTTTCCTAGCGTTTTTAATCCAAGAGGGTAGAAATAGCCATTCAAAATTTCCATCAAACTGGGGAGATGTGTAACTTTTTATTGGAAGATTTTAGAGACAATTTTTGAGGATGTTACCTGATTTCACCTTCAGTGAAGTACAAGTAAAACTAAGTTTGGTGAGAGTGCATCATAAGAAACTGAGGCTGAAAAAGATGTATTTACAAACTCAACATTCAGGCCTTCCTTCCTCACTTTAAAGCTCAAGCTTTAATCCCTGTGCAGGCAAAAAAATAAGCTATTATGGGCTCATACCACCACCTAGTGGTCACCATGAGCATTCATTAACCCGGCACCTCCAAAAGGCCCCCAGGAGCACAGGCTCCTGCTCCTCTGGCTTTCCTCTGCACAGACGGTTCCTCTTCAGGCACTTTCCCTGTATCTATCTATACTATGGCCTTAGCCAACTATTCTTATTTTTCCAAATGCTGTCTAATTACCTCAGGAAAAACTTCCCACCACCACAATTTCCCTCCTAGTTTTCGTTCCGTATAAAAATGGAAAAACAACCAACCAACCCTAGGCTGAAAAATGTTTTTCAATTAAAAGTACCAATATAAAGACAGACCCTTTAAAATCCAAATGCCCAGTCTATCCTTCAAAATTTTCTCAAAAGGATCCATCTATCTCCTCACCTCATTACTCGGGCTTAACATATGTGCACTCAATATTTAAAATACTGATTTGACTTCCTCCCCGCCTCCCTCCAGGTTGTTGACGGCAGCCCAATGCAAGGACTGCTTTGGAGCAGAATGAGAGGGACAGTCCACAGGAGGACAAGTTGGAGTGAGGTGGCAGGGTCAGCCCTCAGGCAATCAGTAATGGTGGCCTAGTGAGGTAGGCATCGGAGCCAGTCAGGAGGCAGCCCAGCCAGTCAGGAGACTGGAGATTGAACAATTAATTAAATATAACGAGGACACAGGAGCCAGGTTTCTCACTGAGGGAGAAGAGAAGTACAAATAAAAGGGAAAGTGAGGATAAACTCTGTAGCATTGGATTAGAATTGGAACTATCAGTATGAGTTTTATATATATAATACACACACATACATAGTTTAATAAATATA